ACCCTGGGAATGAGGTTGTCTTCCATTATCCAAGGGCGTGATGTGACTGCACGTGATATGCCTCTGTCTCCGGCCAAACATGATGTCACTGCCTTCTGCGTACCATCAACCTTTGCTGTATGGAGCGGCACTGGGGCAGCCCGTCCTTTCTGTCACCTTGAACCAGGCAAGGTCAACAGCTATAACTACATGTACATGTACATGTATGTGCATGCATAATGGCAATGCACTGCTCCCAGGTGATGCGACACCACAGCCTGGGGTACGGGTGTGGAGATCAATCCAGACTGTATCATATAAGACAGTGCATACTTGTCAATGTCTCACCAGAATACATACTGTATGTCTTCAAATGTGTCCATATGGTTTTCTTTATATACGTAATATATCACTATACACAACTGTGTGTATGGAATTAATTGGAAATTATTTCTCTTTTAAAATTATCAAATTTAATATTTTTCTCCCCTTAACCATGTAGAATAACTTACTTTTCACAATTACCGTAGTCTCTTCTTGCATAGACTATGGCCAAATTAAGGAGATGCAAGAAAATAGGACTGTGAAAACTCTCATGGCATGTACATGTATATGTATTGCGCGTATATTGAATATGGTAGTAAACGGTAGGGCAATGACAAAATGTACAGTAGTAACCCGTTAATAGATAGTGAAATCTAGAATATGGAATTCCTCAACAGCAATATTTAACAGTGAAAGTGTCTGATGTTATCTGACATTTAAAAGTCATCATAGTGACCACATTTCTGGGATGCATTGTGACTGAAGTGTAAAAACTTGAAAAATCCCTCCAGCTCTAAAATTGAGGGCTTTGACACATCATTCTCTCTCGGGTGCATTTAAGATTCTCAGTCAGCTCTGAATCCAGGTCTTATGACGTTTGTTCCTTATCTAGCCAGGCAAATTATGCAGCTTGTCTCGTTCCCGTAGGCTGGCCGGGCTGTAATGCTCTGTACACGGGGCCATAGGAAGGGAAGAGCAAATTGCATGAAAATAAATCATGCTTGTGGTGTGCCTACAATTTTGAAAAATCACCCTGACAACAGAATGCATATGACCAACTGTATTAAGTAGATTCTGCAATGAAATGTTCACATGCTGTGCAAAACAAAATCCCTAACCTTTGGAACAACTGAATTCAACATCCCCCTAACTACCCTGATCCTCCAAACTTCTCCACCTAGTGTTGCCAAAATGTCATGATTGATTTTAGGACACACAGCCTAAGCGCTAATCTACAGGGGCTTTCATGTTCCTCGCAGACAAACTCAACTCCAAGCCCTCCTCCCCCCCCCAAAAAAAAATTGTGACAACTAAAAGGCAGCTATATACTCCAGAGGAAATTCCAAGTCGGTTTCCCTCACAGCAAAAACCAAATGCAATCCACAATGAAATACAACACATTTCTGTACATAACATCCTGTAATCAAGCATCTTTCTGATATTTTTTCAGCACACTGGGGGAAAAAAATAAAAAGACAAGCCAAGTGTAACACGAGCTGTGTCAATGGGTGGGGCTGTAAATGGTTAGGCATAGACGTACATGTATGAAACAAAGTAATATACATGAACCCTAACCCTTTACTGTCAAGTTCAGATCTTAAAGCAAAGCCATGAGGATGAAATTGAAACACATAAGAAACTGCACTTGAAGTGTGAAATACAATGCATTTTGAATGGTACAATATGAAATGAATTTGGAATGCAGCACAATAATTCAAATGTCAATCATTTCTAAAAGTCGCTGTGACGAGGGATAACCTAGACTTTCAGAGTTTTTACACACCCATGATTTATTTTGAGGACCATCGCACTGCACACTACACTTTCTGTACACACAAAGATTATCATACCCTGCATCAAGCCCTATACATGTAGGTACATGCTGTGGTGTTTTTGTGTTTTCAACAGACTGCCTGTCTCATAAACATATCCCCTAGAAAGCTCAGTTCTGTTTAACAAATAAGCATTCCCTTGACATCCCCATAACAGGTGACCATCTGCCCTGGGTTTAAAACCTAAGTGTGCAGTGGAACATGTTGAGCTGGAGCATACAAAAAATATACTTTCTGACACTTAAATACAGCTATTCATCAAGTACTGTTTATCATTAAAATGACACACACAGGCAGGTTCTTTGGCACTTTTCCCACAGCAACCACCTTGATGGCTGCACGCACAATGTTGAAATTCACAGATGTGTTATTGGTGAAAACGAACAGGGAAGACTAAGGCTTAAAGAAACCAGGTATTTAATACAGCAAAGAAAAGACATGCCAAACAGAGAAGATTAAAAGGTCATTAAAAGGAATCTCAATGACCTTTCTTGATGGTTTTTAGCAGTGAATTACTTCTGATAATTCTATGAAGACACTTCAAAAACTGTAAAACATTATAACTAGGTTGCAACTAGCAGATATCCAATATAGTGTGATCTCTAGCCATAGTCAAGGCGTTTGTCATTCGTCACAGCGCAGCGTGCACCAGCCGCTCACTGACCTAGTACATACATACCTGCATACATTACAAAATCAAGGCGAAGAGCGACCTCACGGCGTCACATGGCCTAAGAAATATGCAAATCAGCTGAACCTGGACGAACACCTTGGTGCAACCAACCACGCTTATTATGCTAATGCTTATTATGCTAAGGTGAAAGGTTAACTGAACGCACACGTGGATATACCAGTACATGCACATTAGGCTTGTGTGGTCCTCCCGGTTCTGAGTGGAACTGCGGTTCCAAAAAAAATCGGAAACCGCGGCTCTGCTTTTGTGAAGAACCAGGTACCCACCACTGGCAGTTCCACATTCAAAGAGCCGATTTCAAACATCATATCCGAGTCCAAGTCAAAGCTTATTGCCCGTGAGTGACAACTCCAAACATCGAATCCGAGTCAATGTGGTTTCCGCGTGTACGTGTATAGCATGCTGTACATTTAGCAGGGCACCCTTCCACACAAGGGAAAATGCATACACAAATGAACTGTAAAATACCCTTGTGTCTGGGTACCAAACCACATACATGTAAGTTATTGCACGCACGGCGCAGCGAAGCTTTGACAGCTGGAAGCCATGAAGCTCGAAGACTGTTTTACATGTGGCTGTGACTTCCACGTTGGTGAATTTTGCCTGGTACTTGCGTGCGACGTGTTGTACTTTCCGCACATACATGTATGACACCTGGCAAAATCGCCATGTGGTTAAGAAATAGCCTAGCCATTGCCCGAACTTATGCACCAGCGAGGGTCTCAGTTCTCAACTTCTCACTGCTGAGCTGGTTCCATGCATGGGCCCGGGCAATGGCATAGCTTATAAGATAGTGGACGTATCAGAGTTTTAGATGCGGCCACTGTGGACGAATGACCAGTTTATGCATGGTCCATGGCCATTTATGATACGTTGGCACATGTTCAGTAAGTACACATGATCCAGCCATACACCAAGTTCCCCAGCATGGTCAACGATTCCTTTTGTATTATGGGTAAATTTACATGTACTTGCAACAGCGAATCGATTGTTCTGATTAAAGTCTTTTTATACATGTAAGTAGAGTGGAAACTAGTGCAGGAGGAAGCAGTACTGAGTTGTATCATGGTTGTATATGCCTATTGCAGATTTATTCCAGCCATGACTAGTCTACAAAGAGTTAACAATAAAATTCAAAATACCCACTGAGGATAATCTTAAAGCCCATGAAAGGCCAAAAGCCAGTCTGTTGTGCCATTGGTGAGTGCAGTGGCATCGCCGTGATGCGCGCGGCATGGCAGCCACAGATTTTTAATGTGTTTTATTAAACCTTATGTTTTTCTTTATATCTTTGGGAGCCAGTTCTAACTCGGAACCGCAGTCCTTAGCTGGAGCCGGAACTGGCTGTGAGAATTCTGGAACCACCCAACACTAATGCACATGGCAAGTACATGTATCTTTGGCCAAACATGCAGCTTTAATGCCCTTATAGCTGCCAATGAATCGACTTGATCCTGTATCAAAGCTGTCAGAAGAGAAATGACTGTCGCTATGGGCTTTGTATCTGGTCTGAGGAGCTCCAAGCTGAAAGGTGCAGCCTGAAAAACAACAGATTTCCCGTAGCCTGTTGGCAAATTCACAATAACGTTGTGACCCTACAGAAAGTATTCTAAGGCTTGCCACTGCTCGGCACGAAATCACCCAACATTAATTTACATGTATCTACAGCGGAATTCAAGCAACAAGACAACTAGTCGTGCTGCAGTCGTCTCGGAAGGTCCGCCATTTTACATTGTTATCATGCATGCCAATTCACATTGATGCATTATGCATATACATGTATATACTTAGCTGAGATTGGTCACTGTGCACTCATCGCACACCTCCATCTACTCATATTCACATATGAGGCCGTGCACTAGAAATCTAGCGCAAAAGTAACGAAACATAAGCTTCTGCAGACAGTTGCACCAAGGCATTTGTCCTAGTTCAGCTGATTTGCATATTTCTTAAGCCGCGTGAGGTTGCTCATTGCCTTGATTTTGCAATGTATGCAGGTATGTATGTATGCATGTACATACTACATGTAGGTCAGAGAGCGGCTGGTGTGCGCTGCGCTGTGGCGAATGAGGAATGCCTTGACAAGGCTATGTGATCTCTAAATAAGCCCAAGTACAAAATCTTGTCAGATCTAACGAGATCACTCAAATCATCTCCTATGATTCTGAAAAGAGGGTTTAGAAATATTGTGCATCGTTATACCAGTATCTATTCAAAGGGGCTTTTTCTTGAGTTGCAACAAACTGAAAGCTGGAATAATGAGTACACAGCTCCCAACAAAAAATACCCATCCTCAGAGTGTACACTTTGACCTCCTGTGATTACTAACAAAAACTTCTTTTAATGCACAGCTACTTCTTCAATGCAAATGCACCTCAAACAGAAAAATTAATCTGTGGAAAGAACATGCTTTCATAATCGGCTACAGAGCAAAACTACGGTGAACTCACCAGTCTCTCTCCTGAAAGGACCTCCAGGAGCTTGATGAGCATCCTGCCATCCCTCAGGTCTGTGTACAGGTCGACGATGCGGCAAGACACCCGCTGGAGATGGGAGTTGACCCACTTGGTGAAGGTCTTCTTCTGGACCAGCTCACGCTCATCTGAACCAAAACAAAAGGGCTATGATTCCGCATGAAAACCAAGAAGGGAAAATAACTTGAAACTGGTAAGCCACTGGTGCAGAGAGGGATACCAATGTGCGAATTCCAACTTTTTCAATTCACGGGTAACCATGTTACTCCATGAATCTCCTTTGAATGATATTGCAAATACACAAGCATGACATGATGGTTCCAATGGATAATCCCGAGTTCCTCCTGACAGCGATGACAACAAATTTTCATTTATGGCTCATCTTGATGAAGACAAGAAAGCTGGGCTCAAAACAGTTCAGGAGGTCACAGCAAGCTGCATAGAATTCCACATACATGTATTTCCCATCAGAATATCATTCCCGGAACCACTTCACTGCACTTTCATATTTACCAGTCATTTGGTAATTAATTTCCCCTCGTAATCCCGCTCACCTTGCCTCTGCGCAATCACTGTCTCCATTTCCTAAATACCCCCGTCTTTCCTTTCCAATCAACATTACATCCTCCGCGGCCGACAGTTTTCTACACACTGCTCAAACCCTGTCACGCCAGATTTCATGGACCGGCCACTCTGGGCATAGCGATGGGTGCCTGTAAGACCCCGCTTTGGCACAGAGACACCGCAGCTCCAAACAGTGGTGCTATTGATGATTGCATTTCCAGGAGCACACTAAATTTGGTTCAGTGCACACTCGGGGCCTCAGAGCCATCCACCAGCTGTAAACTTTATTACATATCCCATATATCAGATCAGATATTGAATAATTTCTTAGCTTCCTTTCCTAACCCAATAATTATCCATTACGGGTCTAGGATAGCGTTTATCCACACGACGACGGACCTTCGAAATGGCTCCATTTGTAACCCATGTAAATTAGGAAGCGGCAACTTGGAATGAAGTAATTAAATTAGATAAGCGACTATTAAATCAGGAGATTCAGAGGGCAACACACAAGGGCACGAATAAATGTTTCTTATTTTTATTCTTTGGCTAAAACAGCAAACATGGTTGGTCCAATGACGCAGGAAAAAATGATGCCAGGATTAACATTTTCAAATTAGGATGATTTTTAAATGTTGATGCCAAAATTGGCGATGCGGACTGATTGGGGGATGGAATGCTGACATCATCCCCATGAAACTAAACCCTGTTCCTCGAATTTTGCTGACTTTTCCACCCCTGCAAAGTTCTTTCTGACTTAGCACAGAAGTGCGTGACAACAGTATTTGAACTTCTAATACACACGCGCACTTTCTACACCTTGACACTGCTTGAACTCACGATTTCAATCTTCCTTTTCCAGACATTCCCAGAACAGGGAATTGTTGTTTGCTAACACATCACTGTAAAAGAGCTTTTTCCAAATCAGTTTGGCATGCTGAAATATCATTTAGCACCATGTGCACTGTGCAATTCTACGTTTTTTTAAACACCCAAACGCATCATCAACCTACAACATTCAGCACACTTCAGCTCCAAATCAAATGCCAGCTGTTGGGTAACAACATCACACCGCGTGAACATTACAGAAATCTCCACAGGCTTTCAATTCCGCCATCACATACGTATTAGTTGACAACTGTGTCCAATACTGATTTAGAGATTGTCACAAAAGGGTGCACTTTCATTTGAAGCAGGTTTCAAGACCTCCCAAAAAGTGTGCATTTTCTTGAAATGAACACTACTCACAAGTTAAAACTTCAGGTTGTTTGTGGAGCATGATTTGTCAGATTGAAAACAATTTGTTGTTTGAAAAGAAAAGTAAAGGCACAAGACACCAATGGCCCACTCTAACTTCAAAAGTGTGGCAACTAACGCAAGCCATGTTTAGCCATTTCACCCACCTGCGAGTGCCTTAATACGGGAGCGCTCAAAGAGCTTGGCTCCCCCTGCATCGTCCAAGTCTGGCTCTATATCCATTTGTACGTCGTTTTCCACCATGGCTGCTGCTCACCAGGGCCTGGCGGTGGCACAATGGGGGCTGCAGGTAACATTAAAACAAAACAATAAATAAATAAACAAGAACGACAAAATTATGAGCATAATTACCATTAGGATGGAGGCAACATTCTGCTAATGTGGTTCAAACCATTTCACATGGACTATAAATAGTAACTTAAAAGGAAAAAGAACTCTGTGAGTGGATTTTGTTTTATAACATGGAAACAATACCGTCAATCTCTATGCATTCACGTGTGCACTTTGTGAAACATACTTAAAATTGGCACAATTTGTAGCTACACGTACAGTCTGTACCACTTTCTGCTGGTTAAAACAGTGCCATGAAGTTGACCCCTTGTAAAATAAAGGCATTGCGAAACACAGGTAATTGACTGCACAGGACAGACTTCATCTTGTTACTTCTCAACAAGAAAAGATGATAGTTTACTCCATTAAAACGACCCTTTAGGATGTGTTCAGCACCAACATGCTACATGGACGTAGCATGAAGAGAAAACTGGATGACCCCAAAATAGGACTGGACTGTAAGCCCAAGAAGAGGTGGTTCAAGTCAGCCAAGGTCAGATGTCAGCCACGGTAAATGTTTTACTTCAACTGAAAATAAAACTAGTTTTCTCTGGTCAACACACTGAACTGGATGCTGATTTTCTTCCCCAAATCAACCAAAGCACAATTTGATGTACATTTTTCAATGGGTACGTGTTCACTGGTTTCTCAAAACACAGCATTATATAAGAATATACATGTGAATTCAAAGAGCAGAACAATATTCACTCCAAACAGGGTACTGGTAGGGTCCACGGTTATATGTAAATTCAACGATGGAGAATATTCGAAAAATAAAAGTGAATCCAGATAAAGAGTGATCTAAAGCCTCTTCCCCAAGCAAGAAATTTCTTCTCCAAGCAAGAAAAACTGGTCTGTGGCAAAGTTAACTAAACAATAAATGGAGCACCACGGTGATTTGGAACACTATTTTGAACACTAATTGGGCTCATCCTGTTCCGTTAGGAAATACTTAACTTCCTCAATAGGCGTTATCGCACCATAAACACCACCAGCAATCCACAGCATAGCTTAACATACATGTACATGTATGCATATACACCACTTGCACAGTGTCTCTGTTTTTATGCAGTCTAAAGGCCTAAACCTCGGGACATTGGACTATATCCTACACATACTTTTTCAATTTCTCTACTCAATTTCTAATGTTAACTTCTTGTTAACAGTTTGTCTACATGTACATCAAATGAAGAACTCTTTGCAATCTTTTCAAAGGGCAACATCATTCCAATTTGTCAGTTATCCAAGCTGGACAAATTTGAGCTTTTGTGCAATCACCAGGTGCGCTAACTTAACTCTACAATGTGAGTCACCAGACAGGAATCTGCTTCACTGCTCTCCCATTGTTCGTAACAATACAGTTTCACCTTGAGGGCATTCAATTAGATCCTCCATATTTAACCCCACAGGTCATCCAAGTTACACTTTTTAATATGTTAACTGGGGCTCAAGATGTAGCATTTCACTCCAGTTCTGTGAAAAGGATTTATCTTCAAAACGTGCAAGGTTAAGAGAGAAAAAGCTCACCTGTTTCAAATGCTACATGTACCACACTGTGAATACTGGGGAATAACAAGTACATGTACAGTCAGTGAGCAGCCCCTCCTTCAATAAGCCTTTTTGGCAATTCCATTTGCAGGCGAAAACATCTCGTGAGTACAAGGGAGTTCGCGAGAAAAAAACGAGAATACAGTAGTGTCCCTTCAACCCACCAGGAAATCCGTTGCTTCATTCGTGGGTCGAAATGGCTTGGTGAATAGATAGTTGACCTTTTTCACTATCAATAAAGTTATGTTTTGGCGATGATCGACAATTTCCCAACGATTTATTTGGACACAAATTTGCTTCGTGTTTTTCGAGAAAATCGCAGACCTCCTCTTTTTTAAGTGCACCTATTTTGCAATAACTGGATAAAATTGAGACTTACAATTCTTCACGAAAAGGATTAAACATCCGTTTCATATCAAAATTTTTGCTGCCGGCCCAATCAAAATTTTAAAGTTTTATGCACTACTCACTCAGCGATCCTGGCAGTTTTACATAGTTGCAAGATAAATGGTACATGTAAGTCTGGTTCCCCAGTAAACGACCAATATTCACTAGGTTTCCTTTGATGCAAAGTCTGGGTTCCCGATTTTAATGTCATTTGATTGGCCAGTATAAGAGAGAATACATGTATGTCAATCAACCAATCACAGATAGTCTTTCATGAAACACACACAGCAGTTTTCTCGGTTAATCTCACAAAGTCTAAACCTGCGATTAAGAAATATTTTGGGTGCACCTGACTGTTTTGCAACGACCTGAAAAGTAAAAACTTATTGTTTGGCTGGATATATGACATATCTATCTTTCTGTTGTCAAGAAAATTCTGCCGGCCTAGATTTGGATCCACTAAAACCAGTTTTTTTTTGGGTACCCTCATTTTTACACACGAAACTCTATGTTTTACGGCTAATATCCTTCAAAAGAGACTGCAAATATTTGTATTTTTTACAAAGGACATGGAACTGATATCTGAACTGTTCATTTATGTAAAGATATTCCATTCTTAAAGGTAACACAAGGTGGTATACAATTTTGAAAAGTCCACAAGACAGCTCATTACATATGATTCAGACAGCTGTGCATACGTAGCAAATGAAAGGCACAGCTTTTACCGGTGCTGCGCGCTGACTGTGTACTACAAGGGCAGAATAATGTTCCAAGTATTAGTTTCATGGCAAAACAATAAAACACTACTGGTTGTAGACTAAGAACCCTATCAACTATTAATAACATGCTACAACAAATACCAATAAATATTGCTTGTGCCATAACACACTATAGTCTATAGTGCAATTTTGTTACTGCTCAGTTGGGAACAATTTCAGAAAATACACAGGATTATGGCTTTAAATACATGTACACATGTACATGTATACAAGCTAGAAATACCCTCTACCACTGCAACAAAACCTATTTCTATTTTCTACACAATGTGTGGACTTTGAGCACATCTCATTCAAAGCACGAAAGCAAGGACAATCACTAGTCTGGTCATCTACAAACACACAAAAAAGGAAACCACTCGAACTATAATTTCTACACCTTTCAAAACGTAGTTCCCACCAGCTCACATGGGTGACTTTCGGCGCCATGCAACAATAAAATCCTTGCGAGAACAAACCAGGTAAAATCAAAAGTTTATAACCTTTGAAGTTTTGAAGAGTGGATTTTGCAATTTCCCCATTACAATCGATTCTGTGTGAAAACTTGGAATGTGGCAAAGATATGGCTGGACAAAAGATTTCCCAGCATGAATGTCACTGGGCAATGGCGTGTAACGCAGGCATACACAGCACGTTTTCAAAGAATACCCTTGGAAAATTAAAGCCCCACAAACAGCCACCTGTGCTGTAGTACTGACTGTTTTGACACAAGTTTTGTACTTAGTTTTGTGAAGGGTTTACAAACAAATACTGCAGGTTTGAGATTTTCATTATATTGTTATGCTGATTTGGCAGACACTATCCCTCCCAGATCATAAAAAAAATCCACAGAGAGGTTTGGAAATTGCCACAATGATTTGGATTGTTGTTCTCATCGTGTGGCCATGCAACATGAATATTACCCATCATATACATGCCATCAAGCTGAATGAGATACCATGACTTCTACCACTGTCACAGATGCAGTGGGGTGTTCAAACTTTGGGAGGGGTTGCAAACGGGATTTTTTTTTTTCGAAAAGAACGGTCCAAATTTTTGCAGTCTATAAAAGAATCTGCATCCACCCTTCCCCCAAGGTGAGAATACCATTTTGAAAGTTTAGGCACTTTCAGTTTTAAAAAAGGCAGCAGGTTGAGGGGAACTTGCACATGTAACAAATATAAGAACAAAATTGAAATCTACCTACATGTATATTTTAGGGTTCGAACGGCATGTTGCAGCATGGATTTGCTTTAAAATTTTACATAAATTGTGGTTGCATGTCAGAATTCTTCCAAACTTTCTAAAACAGTTATCAATGCAATCAATTAAAAGAAAAATAATATAATAATAATTACATGTACAACTTCCAGGGTCTCATCTAGTGACTTGTTCACACATCTTTTGCACTGGCAGTGTGTGATTTTGGATGGACCCTTTGTCCCCCCCCCAAAGGAGTAAAAACAACTAATTTGCATTTTTTGTTTAGAATAAAAACACAAAGATACCTTGTTAACTGCGTGACCAACTGATCAGCTAGCCATGCTGCTCCACGCTGAGTCATTTGAGTACGTGTGTACTTTACATTACTTTACTGTTAACCTGTAATACTGTACCTGTACTGCGAACTATTTTCAAGATGTAACGCCAAAAAAAATAACTCTTGAAATAGTTTGCGGTACCCACTGCTTCACCTGACTCTGACCGGCCAGCCGACCCCAGCAAGCTCGGTGGTCGAGTAGTTAAGATGTCTGCACTCGTAAGCAAGAGGTCATGGGTTCGAGTCCCGCCCGAGTAAGCTTGTGACTTTTTTCGCAAGCTCTTGGACAAGCACTGAGCATACAATGTTTGATATACATGTATATGTTGGGTAAGGGCAAAACCTGTTATATTAACTGCTTTACATATTTGTGGGCAGCAGATACCAGTGCATTAAACAGACAGCCATTGAACAGCCCATTGTACTGCTGTTTGTCTGGGAACCAGAGTACTCTTTCCATTGTGTTGCATGTATGCAGCTGCGGTACCGTATTCCTGGATTGTAACAGACTGGTACTGCAGCACGGGAGGACAGGCTGTTTTGGGAATCTTAGGTGAAAGCTTGACAACCTCCATTCAAAATCAGAGTGGAAGAAAAATCAAGTTCGATGTAGGGGGAAAAAAAGGGTTGCGACCATCATGACCGTACTCCTTTTTTTTAAGCTTGTCTCGGTGCAACACTTCACATTTATGGAAACTGAACACGTACACCAGTGCTGTATTGTAGAGTGCAGACACATCACACATGTCTCGTCACACTGCTGGACAACTCATGTTACAAATCACACTAGTGTTACAGAAACATCAGGATGGTCATTTGTAAAATGGCTGAAGAGAGGATAGGCCTAGACACGTTTCTTGAAATCCAAAATGAACTCCGTCATGGTTAGTTAAGATGGCACTGGTCCTTTC